ATGAAACCTAACAAGATTTAATGAACATCAAATATTAAATCAGAGCACACTGTACTCCACATTCTGCTAGCCCTAATTTCTATAGCAAACTCCAATTTACGTTAACGCTGACACTAGTGTATGTGTAATTCAGAATCGGTGCGGGAAACGTATTGAATATGTAGCGAGGCATTTTTCTAACAAACGTGACATCCTGTGAAATTGCATTTTGCAAATGAATAATGTCTTTTCCACATCCGAACCAATACATTTTAAAATATCTGTTTTTCGGGAACATATTGTTGCAATCACAAAACTGGTTGGGAAACGTATCGTTTTTAAAATTAAAACCCAGACAGAAATACAACAGAATGATTTGGCAAGCACCGTAATTAACTTTTTAGTTTTTCCATTAGTCTTGGCGGGAGAATTTATTCGCTAGTTCGTAACTTTACTTACGAAACTTACTTAATTAAAAGTTTATCATTTAAAACTCGATGAATAAATATAAAACTGTGAAATAAGTGTAGAAATATGAGCTTTACAATTTACATGCGTACTATTGAGAAATTAATTACTTTAAAAACCTTCAAAAGAGAAAGACCATAATAGAGAACAACGGATCAAGACTTGAAGAAAAAGTTTTGTAAACCTGTTGTTATTTAATTAATAGAGGTACAACACTCAAGCCCGTGGCATTGAGCGTTCTATCGTCGATATCCGATTCCAATAATCGAGCGATACTTGTTTAACTTGTTTTTAAGTGAATCCGCGGGAAAAAGCACTGCCATTGGCCCCGTTTCACCTTCATAGCACACATTTGCGTTGCAGTCTTTCTGTGATGTATCGAGATATTGGCAATCGAGTACAACCGGCCCATTCCTACTGCACCCTTGAACTTTGTCAAACTTCGTTTTGTAGGTCGAGGGGCTCGAGACGTCAGACGGCCATTCCGACCTGTTCAAGCTTCTTATCTTAGAAACTTGGCAAAACAACCGCCGTCAGCGTTGAATACTTCGAAGTATGACATCTGTTACAAATGATAATTTATCGTTTTCGAAAAGGAAGTTTTTGTTGCGGAAACTGTTCGGAGGAAAGTTTTGTTGTGAATAAAATTATAAATTCTGTTTGTTACACAATTATGAACAAATATCATCATATCTTTAGGGGCGATTTTTCTAACGCCAGTTATAAGTTTGAATATTTGACAATTCTTCCATACTTCTACGTTACGTTCGTTGTGTGTACGTTCCATAAACTCGTTGATTGAAAAGTCGGCCCAAAACTTAACTCAATTCTCAAAACACAGATCAAATTGAAAATCAAATTCAACGTTTCAATTTTACTCCAATCTATTCTGAAAGCTAAGGGCAGCAAAGTAGGGATGCTCCATATAAACCCATTTACTCTAACCAAACTACGAGTAAACACCAAATGTAGGTAGGTTTAATGCATTTTCGCGTTTTGTGTACATCTTGGATCCTTATGTACCTACGTGAATCTTCAAAGTCGGTGCCATTGAGCGGGCAAATGGACTAATATCGTAACTTGAAACGACCGTACCCTGACAACGTACAGTAAATTGTCATTTAGCCATTTCGCCTACTTAATGTGCCAAGTTTCAATTAAAAAGCCATTGGAGTGCCATATATGGGCCATTAGTTCTGATTATTAGCGAGGGTGTATTAATGTCGAGTGGATAATTTTATTAAGGTAATATAGAGGTGATGTCTTCATTTTGTTTTATACTGTGCAATGAATTTAAGACTTTAAGGTTTCGCATTATGAACTATTTTATGGATTAATGATTCTCGTGGTGAGTTCAAATGCAGGTAAAGTAAATTTACTTTTTTCTTAATTAAGCAATCCAGCTACTTGTTATTATTAGATCAAGCTTTTGACAAAGAAAAGCGCATAACAAAAACAGGTTAAATGTATTGATGAAAAATGTAGGAATATATTTATTCCAAATAAAACACCATGTCCAATAAATGTACAATCGGCATTGAGAAATTACTTTATTTTATGACAAGCGATCTTCCCTAACTTGTACCGCGAAAAACTTTTCTTCCTACTTTCTCGAAGATTCTTAAGAATTGTATTTTATGTATTTTAGAAAAGTATTTTATTAAAATTTTCTTTTGAAGGAATCTGAATGATTTTGTAGGATCATCATTAATAATTATGATTATTTGCATGTATTTATCTAAATACGTACATCTGTACGTACATACTTACATTAAAAAATACATCTTGAAGGGATTCCTGTAAAATCAAGATGCGTAAGAGATTCGTTTAAATAGATTAAATCGTTCTAATCTCGAAAGGCTCTCGTCTGGCTTGGACATTAATTAACATGTGTTATTTTGTAGACATTTTAACATCCAAAAAAATAAATTAGTAGGCAATGTATGCAAATTAAAATGCATTCAACCTGTATTACCGGAAAACCACTGATTGCTTCAAAATCACCTAACCTAATTCTAACATGTTTGAAGCATCAGTGGTTCCAATATCACTTGCGTTGAATAAAATTATTGAGTCCAATTTTGTGAACATTTCATTGCATCTCTAGGCTTAATATTAGTAAATAATAAGACATAAAACAAAGACTGTTCACGACCTCGTGGTAAAGTCGTGAGAGACCTAGCCTGGGCTAGTTCACAAGATAGACTAAACTATCTCTTTCGTTATTATTAAATAAAATAGAGACAGGTATACAAGATGCTCATCGGCTATGAGAGGAACACTTCGTAGATAGTTATCTTTGAAAACCATTGACCGTATAGAAGATAAATTTCAGAGGAATCATGTCTTACAAATTATAAATTAGATTTAAAGTCCATTAAAACTTATCTGGCAAGATTGTTATTTATCTAAAGACACGAAAATTTAGAGAAGAATATTGGTTATAATTTACGGTTTATCTTGATACCGAAATATAAAATAAAATGTACAAAACCAATTCGTCGTAGGTACAATGTTTATCTCGTTCGGTACAAATAATAACACACGCTATCAACTTTTATATTTGCCAGTAAAAGTAAGTAACACTACACATGCGACCCCAATCTGTCCCAAACATTATTCGAGTAATAAAACACTCGTTCACAATCAAATAAAGCCACAATATCTAATAGATGGAAATCTCACAATATGTAAGGAGTCGTAAAATATCAATATTCTTGGGGAGTAGTATCCTTAGGGAAGTAGGGACCACGGGAACGAGATGGCAATATAAATGGAAATAAATACAGCCTAAGCTCATAAATCATTTGCGAACATGTTACACTCGAGGACAAGCGTACTTTCTTACATATACATATTACATTGTTGCCATACCGATTACGAAACTCACATAAAAAGGGGGAGGAACATGGAACGACTTTTAGCCACCGAAATGTGGAACAATAGGGTGCAGAATAAAGGATCTAGTTATGGCTTCACTGATGGTCTCATGGGAAGTGCAATGTAGTGCACGAATGTAGATAACAACATAATGAATTCTCTTTGGGAAAAAAAATGTTCTTTCTTTTCCCTCCTTATACGTGATGTGTAGTATAATGTACACATGGATCAATACTAATTTGGAGATCTCTTTGTTAAAAACGTTGTATAAATGAATGAACTAAGTAATTATTATAGCTTGAAAGTCCACTAATAAAATAAGTATTTTTTTTTTAAAGTAGAAGATATAAAGTTAATATAATATGATGTAAAATACTACGAATCGAGAAGTAGTTTCCTAGTCTTCATGATAAAAACTTTACAATGTTTCCAAGTCAAATAATAAAGAATTTAAAGTCTTGGAAAGGCGGGACGCTAGTCACTAAATCGTACAAAATGTTAATCCATGAAGAAACGTGGTGGTAGGCCTCCCCCTCCTTGGTAAGAAGAAAATTAAAGTCCACATATTCGTGTACCACGCAAAAATTCCGAGAATCACAAAGGAAAAGTTTTTGTAGACAATTTAAAGTTTAAAAACGAATTTTACGTCAAAAATATTTGCAAATAAACAGAGTACTTAGATGTTACGATAGCATTCACATTTTTTTTAATATATCAGGGAAAACCCTCCCTAAATCTCCAAGTTTTATGACTTAACTTTTCAAATATAAGATATAAATAAAAGAAAACGCTTAACTTTTATTGACTTCATCGATGCTGACATAAAATTTCCAAATCAGAATCTTTGTAGATACAGGGGCAAATAAAAAGTTTGATTCATCCTTAATTTATTATTGATTGGAAAAGTTTAGCTTATATATTAGCTTTGATGATATCGAAAATATCAGTTACAGCTTGAAGAAATTTCTAATTTATAGATAATTAGGTATAGGATTATTTTTCATTAGTATTTACGGCAGATGATATAAAAGTTGCTATTTTCGTAGTCATAATCGTAATCATCACCCACAGCTTAACATAGTACTCTTCAATTCACTACCAAACGTGTTTGCTTACAGAAATGTTATTGTAATTTTTTTTTCTAAATGTATACATATTTTGGACATAACCGTAAGATATAAAATAGAGCTCTATAAAATCAAGTGAGCCAGACATTACCTCAGTGAAGTAATACTTTGCTCTGCAGTATTTTACGTCTGCTGCCAGCCAAGTGAATTTCATTAAAGCGGCAAATATTGTATGAAATTTCTACTACACTGCATTTTAACATAGGACGGTATTCAGAGGAAATTTTGTCAAGTCCGTTCCAAATGCAACAATAACTATGTGCCTTTGTGACCAGATTCTGAGAAGAATGGGAGAAAGAGAAATTATTTCAAGGAAACTGGAACAAAATTGGCGAAATACGTAGGTATGTTAAATTAAGTGACTTACAGGAAACGTAAATCCAATTGTCGTCTGTTAGTTTAAAGTAACAAAGAGTAGAATATTACACAACTGCATATCAAAGACCTTATGGGTCTCAATTTAAACATAACTGATCAAACGTAGTAAAAGTATCTGCATTTTACATTTTACTTGGAATGGAACACAAAATAATGTAAAAAACTTACCTATAAGTTCTTCACTGCAACCCAAAAACTGAAACCTGAAACAAAAAAAAAAGGAAACTTAATTTCGGTGTCTAACATTTTATCTTTAGGGCAACCCAAGAATATTAACCCATGTACTTTCAATGGGCTAGGCGACTTAAGTTTGTCAATTCTGAGCACTATTACACGCTGCCTGAAAACGGCTTTCAGCCAATAACAGCAACTAATGAAAGTGAACAAGAAATGGACGACACACCGTCTTACGTAACAGTTATGTACCGTGCACATTTCGCTATTACTGCTACACTTTATAGTGAAGAGGTTCTTGTGGCATTTTCTTTTATTACTAGCTTTATAATGGTCACGAGAACGACTGTGGACTCTGCTACCAAGAATAACATTATTTTGAACTTTAATGCTAAGAAAATTGCTGGAAAATGTAGTGTTATTTTATTTTTTGAATTCATTAAAGATTGAATAAAATACAATAACCTCTAAGCTACTACTATAGTGTGGAACTGAACATCGCCTCTTCATAATAGCATTAATTAAAATTTTCTTCTAAGTCAAATAGATACCTATTCTGAATAAGCAAATAATTTTAATTGAACTTAGCATCCTTAATGTTAGTCAGCTTCAAGATTAATTTCCATGGAATTTAATCAGCATATTTAGGTACTTGAACATCGATATTCCCTCGAGAAATTAAAGAACAATAAATAAGAAACAAGAAAACTGTATTAGGCAAAGTAATCCGCAAGATGCTTAAACAACATTATTGTTTCATAAAAGAAACACAAATGGGAGAACCGGTCCCTGGGGTATTCGTAACAATTTGCAAGAACGTTGGAACTTCGTAACTTATTGGATCAGGCTAAAACTCGTGAGGGCCAAGTTTCTCATATAGTTTATCTCGTAATATCTCATAATGATTCCTAATTCGATAAGTCACTTGATTCCTTTTCGGCCAATATTTTCTTCTTTCGAGCAAAAACTATCAAGATCAATCTTGTATAATTTGGCGCTCATTTCTTTCTGTCCCGGGTAATACCATCTCTATTAGCTAACTGATCAATTTATGAAAGCTATCGCTTCGAATCGTGCGCCAATTCCTCAACAGTAATGGGTGAGAGCAGTTTTATTTCTTCATTTCCCTCGTGTATCGTGTTATTAGTTTATATAATCAGCTTTTTACTGCTTCTATCGATACGAGGAGTGAATATAACTCAATTATGCTTTGCTTTTTTATGCTAAAGTACCGATCTGGTTTTTTATTGTCTGTTAACCAGGAATGTGATAGCAGTGTTTCAGCAACAGACTTTTTATACAAACTTAATTAGACCTGATGAAATAGTTACACACAGTAGCCACATAATCCATATAAAACTTATCTCGTCAAATCTAACGTGTTTCCTTTCAAAAGAGGCACATATATTGCTGCGTAAAAAAAACAAACATGGCTGCCAGCCGCCAAATAGTTTCCAAGGCGCGTCGTCCTTTGACTATGGTCCCTTTGATTCTGCGATCCTCTCGCACGACTCCCTGCTCTACAGCTACTGCTCTAAGCCCTCAAAGAAATGACTCGTCAAAAGGCATTGGTATCGGTATAAATCTCTCGCAATGACGTCATATTATAAACTTGCCTATAGAAATGAATAGAATTCGTTCCATTCAGCGTAAAGCCTGTTTTTCATTAAAATGTTTATGCCTGTGCGAAACTTTTGGAATATTTTTATGGTTTTTCTTAATACTAATTGTCTTATTTGAATTAAAATCATACAATATTACTGTGTGCCTCTATCTTTGATATATTAAACAATTAACATCTTGCATGCTTTTGTATGAATGACACATGTTTATGCAAATAAATTATCTTTAAAAATCGAAGTAAGTGAACATAATAAAAATTAAAATTTGGAATAAAAATCAAAAAGAGTAAAGTGAATTAGGTATGTTTTTAAATGGTTCTGTAACAAAAACAAAGAACAAATAAGAAAATACTGCATTTTTATTATACCGAAAGCAGAACTAAACTGGTTTTTAGCCAAGACACGAGTGGCATTTGAAGAACTCATAAATATAAAGGTAAAACAGCTAAACTTGCTGAAACATTTTCAAAAAAGGAGGAATTGTGCGGATTCAGCATCAAGCTATTTTCAGTGCAGCTAATGTAGCTATGTTAAGAATACTGCACAGGATTCTTTAGATTTATCCCCAACCATTGTTTCAATGCAAAACCAGTCAATAATAAATACTACCTACTCATTTGTGAGTAAAGAGAGAAGAGAGAGTGCGGGTTCGAAACAGCAAGTACCAATGTGTTTTTTTTTCGATTTATATGTACTTTCTAAGATTATGTAGATATCACTAACAAACGGTGAAGGAAATTATCGTGATGCATGCAAGCAATGCAAGTAACCACGGTGATGAAACCTCATACCTTCTCCATGTGGGAAGAGGCATTTGGTCAGCAGTGGCCACTTATAGGTTGTTGATATGACTCATTTGTGTCCGCTTATAACAGAAAATCAGTGCTTAGAAACGATTTAAAATTATTTAAAAAAGGAACAAAGAAACACTTTCGTCTAAGTACCCTCCTTTTCATAGCTTTCATCATCAAATAATTTTCCTGTTTATTTCGTATTAAACGACAGACATTTTGCTTTTGTGTAGAAATAAAAATGTACTGTAATAATATTTTATTCCTGTGATAAATTCCGCAAACTCGCACTTCGGAGGCCGTAGGAGTTAATCTTTTCCACACAGTCACCTTCGTGGTACTTAACGATGTACTGTGAAGGGACCTCGGCGAAAATCTATTGAACGTCTATTTTTCTTCGTTTGATATAACTCTGTGTACATTAAAGGTATAACGTGGGTGTGAGAGGAACGATATTCCATATTAATATAACGTTCAAGGCAGTAGGCATTATGAAGGATCTAAAAATAAATTACTTGACGTGTTATCGCAGTCATAACGATGAAAAATAAAGCTTGTTTACACGCATAAAACCACGTAATGTTAGACAATATCATGTTATATAGTAAAATGAGCGTCAGCCAAAATTACCTCTCATTTACTTCCATAATAAAGAATTTTCATTAAACTTCTGTTATTTTACTAACGTATACATGATGATTGCAATAAAAATATTCAAAATATAGCCTAGGATAAAACGTTTCCGTATTACCCTAAGTATGAGTTATAAAGTTACTTTATGAGTTCATAGCGACTAATGCAAGCACACCCTGTACAGTTAATCTCTTTAATGCAATCGTGCCATCCAATACTCGTACTATGCAAGCGAAAATTTGCTGCAATTTTTCACTTAAACAAAAGAGCGCGAATTCCATTGCCAGTTCTCTCCACTACGTTTTCAAGAAGCACCGTCTAAACGCTGCGGTGGATGTTAATCTCTTCCGTCCGATCGCTCTTTTCAGGGTTAATGGTGTGCAAGAGTCTTCGGTGTGAATTGCGATTACGAAAGATACTCACGTTCCAACGCTGTCCCTCGAGTTTGCGTCTTAACTCCAGACTTTCTTTATTAGCAAAGTAAAAAAATATATAATTTCTTTCCGTCGCGTTACATGCTACAACTTCGTCGTACTAAAGTAAAATAACTTGGACGTTCCTTGGACAGAATTTCAATCAGCCGAGAGTAGGTACTTACTTGTATATTACAAAAAATATTGGAGTCACATTTTCTCTGGAGATTTGTCAGAAACGATCATAATTTATTATGTTCTCAGACTCAGGCTCCGTAAATAATTCTGAGTGTTTTTAGATATATTTCTTTGCAAACACTTCAGTAATGTTAATGTTTTGTGAGAGTGAAAAATAGAATGTGTGTAAGTTTTGTTGGTAGGACCGACTTTATCGTAATTGAAAAGCGATGCTTACGTTAGTCTTGCTTTTGATTAATGCATTTCAGAGTAATCGAAGTTATATTTCACGAAGGGTGGAAATAGTTATATGCCTATACAACAACAACCAGTAAATATCACAAACGATTATTTTATAATACACCTATCAAAACACTACTTTGATAGCCAATCATATCTCAATATAGAACCCCTTAAAACCAATACTAATGATGTTCCTATACATCAAAATAAACCACAATAACATGAAAACAAACAAACATAAACACAATCCAAGAGCTTTCAAGAAAACGTTCCGTTGTTAATGAAGTCTGTGTACGAACAATTTGAAAACAAAACAACACGAGTCGAGGAACTAAGAAAAACAATGTTGCTATTTGCTACCATGATAATATTATATTATCGCGAAGCAAGAAGCGAGCTCCGTTGACCGCACGCTATGTCGAGTGACAAATTAAATGAATTTACGGGCAACAGACTTAGGGTGTCCGCAAACAGCGGGGTTTTCTCAAACTTTACGACCTATTTATTTATAACAAAACATAAAAAGATAACCATCTGCTCTTATGACATGAAATAAAATGTATTGTGTGTTATTTTGTAGTTAAAAAAACAAGAAAATTGTGGATGTCTCACCGCAAATGTTAGCCAGTTAACCAATCTTAGGCTCTGGCGCCTAAGAACAATTTCTTTAATGGTTCCGATAATGGAAATTTTAAAAACATGTTACCGATAATATGCAACCGCCCTTAGCCAGTAGACATATGTAATGCTCTTTGCGAGAATGTAAATACAATATACATGACTCAGCTTTCTGAGGGCGCTCAGTTTCATTGTGATAGGTTTAGTCTTGATCTCCTTGAATTTATCGTTCCTTAGTGTTGGGTTATTCTGGTTAAATTGCGAGCTTTTGAAGGTTTCAACTACGTAGCGCTTTGTGAGGGTATATAGAAAAAGGGTTAGATACAGTATCTTTTTCATAAATACGAATGTGTCAGGCCATTGAGTTATCGTGTTCGAATTTGCTTTTAGGGGTCAGAGTGCTTACGAGAGATCTAGCTAGACGGATGGTAGTTTGAACTTTGATATTTTTCTGTTGATTTTTCTATTTCTCGATGAGAATTTTCTATTCCCTCCACTTAATCTAAGGTCACACTACCATCACACATTCATT